TCAAGAATGTATTGTATTCAGGAAATTCCAGAGATGTAGTTCATAGACCACAGCATAAGATAACCTTAGGGTGCTCGTGGCAAGTCTGTAGTAACTAGAAAATGTTTTACCTTGAGCTAAGACTCCAAATGGTCCCAGGGATGTTTTATCAATCAATCAACAAATCTCTGTTGACTAAGGTTACCATACTTGAGTCCATTGTGAAATGAGCTTTCTAAATCCTTTCTGGAAAAGGGACTGCTTTTCACTGCGACAGCAATCATCCTTCATTTCATCCCACTTAGTTTGGAAATTAAAATGTTCTGCTTCTTTACTTTTTTGCAACTTCCATGGCTTTTCCTGCCTTGAATTCCAATTGAACGCAAACGAGAGAGCTCTTTTCAAGAGAGCTGCAGAAGGAGGAGATGGAGAAAAATCTGGTGTAATAATTTACTATTATCGTTGGAAGGAGAAGGGAAACAAGCTACCTCCAGACCTATTATTTTTAGAAGCTATTAAGGCCAGAGGAGCAGACTCCTCTTGAAATGGCGCTGTGTAAAATGCCTGTCTGTTTGTGGATCATTCTCGCATTGATCGCTTGCAGCTTAACTACTGGGAAAAATCAATGGGAGAGAGACAAGGTCATTCAGCGTCAGGTTATCTGCATCAGAGTGGGAGGGTGGCCACAGACAAGCACTGGGCTCGGGCTCAGCTTCCTAGCAGCTCCCTGGTGGACCCTGAACACATCAACCCCTCGATCCCGCTCATGGAGCTACAGAATAGACATGGGGGTGGGGAGAGTCAGCACAAATCTGTCCCGAGTTCAGGAGGTAGTTACTCCCGGGTCCTGGTAGAATTTAGGAGAATAGAGTCCTCTTGCTTTGTCCTGCTTGCTCCTTCACACCCTCGAGCGGCATATTAAGCACGTGACAGACACCGCGTTCTACAATGTTCATGTGCACTGATGAATGGAAATCTCACTGCAACCTCACGGGAGGAAATGAGCCTCTGGGACGTGTGCGTGTCGCTGGTGAGGGCCGAGCCTGCCCTCGCGCTGGGCCGGCAGCCCCTCTGCTAATCTTAGCTCCTCCCTGGAAACATCTGGAGACCATTAAAGACAAAATAACCGCACCACAGCTAACCAGCGCCTGGACCCTCCCCAGCAGCAGGGGGGCGGAGCCAGGATGGCCTGGCTTGTGGAGTCCCCGAGGTGAGGTTCATGAGCAGTTCTGCCATGGTTAGACCACGCCACCTCTCTAAAATGAGGGAAGAAGTGGGCCAGCGCCGTGGCTCACTTGGTTAATCCTCCGCCTGCGGCACCAGCATCCCATATGGGTGCCAGGTTCTAGTCCCGGTTACTCCTCTTCCAGCCCAGGTCTCTGCTGTGGCCCGGGAGGGCAGTGGAGGATGGCCCAAGTGTTTGGGCCCTGCACCCACATGGGAGACCAGGAGGAAGCACCTGGCTCCTGGCTTTGGATCGGCGCAGCGCCAGCCATAGCGCTCTACCTGTCAAATAAAAAAACAAACAAAAAAAAGTATAAAATGAGAGAAGAAGAAAAGGCCGGAGACCAACATTCACGGAGCCCTCTCCAATGCGACCTGCCGCACCTTACCCAATCGTCCCAACAATGGGAGCACTGATGCCCATTTTACAGACTTGGAAACTTGCTCAGTTACTTAACCAGAGAGGTGAAGCAATTTCCCTCAAGTCCTCGAGTTCATAAGAGGCAGAAAGGAAATCAGTCTGAGTCTGTGTTTCTGTTCCCACGCCGAACAGCAAGGAAACACACCTCTTGCCGAGGATCCAGAAGAAATCAAACCAGGCTTATCCGAACAGGAGCTCAGAGCAAGTTAGAATTTCAGTAGAGGGAGATCCTTGTAGAAGGCTCCCGAGGACAGCCACAAGGCAGAAATCTGGGAGAGCAGGGAGAGAACCATGGCACACGGGCAACGGAAAGAGGCAGGAAAAAGAGACAACGAGGAAAGACGTGGATTATCCTTGCTGTGTTGGGTCTCTCAGCCCTGTGCCGCAGGAACTGTAATGTTAGCCCCCTTCTGCAGACGGGAAAAGTGAGGCCCAGTTAAAAGCTAAGCAACACCTTCAGGTCACACCGCTGCTATAAGTGGCAGGGCAGGGACTCAAACTCCAGGTCCGGGGTTCAGCCCTGCTGTTTACACTGCCCGTCACTTTTTAAAGGAACACAAAGAGGAAGGAAAGGCAAACTGGATTTATTTTGGTTAATGCTCAGAGAAGTCATGATCCTTGCCTCACTGAGCTCTTTCGGCATCCTTGTGGGGAGACCCCGACCTGCAGCCTAGGTTGAGGACCTGAGGGCAGACAGGATCGGTGTAGCTTGCTTTGAGCCTCAGCAGCACAGTCAGTCGGCAGACCCTCACATGTGCCCATTTAGCTAACTCCTGACGCGGGCTCCATCCTGACGCGGGCTCCAGGACAGCATGGAGGTACAGGTAGTAGTGAAAGGCCAGGGGCAGGCATTTAGCCCAGTGGTTACAATGCCACATCCTCGATCAAGGTAGCGGAGTTTGATTCCTGGCTCCGGCTCCTGACTCAGCTTCCTGTTAGCGCAGACCCTGGGAGGCAGCAGTGATAGCGCAAGCCACCCACGTGGATGGCGTAACCAGCTCCAGGCTTCAGCTCTCACCAGCCCTCGATGTTTTAGGCATTTAGGGAGTAGAATAGCTGTTAGTGCTTCTCTCTCTCTCTCTCTCTCTCTCTCTCTCTCTCTCTCTCATAATGTTAATTTTGACAAAATACTCATGGCCAAAAAAGAAGCAAACAAAAAACCCACAGCACATAGAGCTCTAAGAAGGAAAAAGAGAAGACAAGAAAGGGTTTAAATGGACTTCATTATGTTGATTGGAAATTGCAAAATGACAGAATGAGGAAATATCCTAATTTTGCTTGGTCAGGGAAGAACTGTAAACAGGCAGCAGAAAGGGACTTTGGAAATAAACATGTTAAACAAATGCCCACTTCTTATCTTTTACAGACTATTTTGAATTCAGCCAAAATCATACTGCACGGAAACTAAATAGCTTGTATATACAAGTGCTTCCCTTAATACCCACCTGGGACTCTAAAGTGCCAGCCGAGTGGTCCACACTTGATTGCATCTGACCTTGAAAACCCAGCTTAAATCGCCTTCTTTGATCACTGCTTTCACCCTACAACTCTTGGTACTATAAATTCAATTCTTAATTGAACTGACTTTTGAAATTCCAAAGGAATCCAGTCGTCCCTCGCTAGGCACAGGGGATCCGTTCCAGGCTCGGCCTCCATGGATAGCAAAACCCACAGATGCTCAAGTCTCTTAGATAAGCACCGTCATCTTTGCATATGTATAACCTACGCACATCTTCCCGGATCATTTAAATCATCTCTAGACTACTTAGAAGACGTAATACAACGCAAATCGCTGCTTTGTGTATTCTTTAGGGAATGATGGAAACAAGCCCCAAGGCAGGTATTTTCCCAAATACTTGTATTTTCCATCCACGGTTGGTTAAATCCCTGAACACAGAACCTAGGGATTAGGAACTGATGGCAAGGGCTGGTTACATATGCCTTTTATTCATATAATAAAGTTGTGTGAAAACAGGCATAGAAGCAGAAAGCGTGGTTACCCATTTGCACTGCCACTATGCTCTGAGGATCTCCCAAGTCTTTCTATGCACAACCCAACACGAATGTCTGTATTCTCCAAATAAGCTTTTGCCCAACTATGACTAAGTTCTTCGTTGTGATACACAGTCTTGGTTTATCCTATTTGTATAGGAGCTGGGAGGAGAGATCTCTAAGACCAAAGCAATTACATCATTCCCGACCTAAGACAAATACCAGCCAGCAATATCATTTTACGCGAGAGCTGAACTGCTCTCTGAGAGTGGAGTGGGAAAGATGGGGGATTTGGTGAGGAGCAGCATCAGCGTCCATCCTCCACAGCCCCTCCCGAGGCCTTGCCTAGAGAAAGCATTCAATCCGTGAATGAGAAATTGTTCCCTTTCAGAGTCGGTGCAGTTGGGGTTAAACAGTGGGTTAAATACTGTCAATGCCAGGGATAATAGAAACACATGTACCCAAGTGTAAATGTTATAGAGTGCGCCCAAGAAAATTCTAACTTCTATTATCGCCCACTTTGGATTATTCCAACCAGGATTCATTCCCGTTTTTATTTCATGTGGCATAAAACGAGCCCCTCCCCTTCCACTGTGTCTGAGTCTCTGAGACACTGTGGCATGACTTCATGCCTGCATGTCTGCTTTGTTCTCCCAAATGAATTGTAAAGTCGGCAAGGGAGGGAGATTTCTTTTACATTCTCCCCAGCACTTAGTTCATGCTCCGCACTGTATGTGTTAAATAAATGTTGACTCTTCTGAATAGGAGGTGGTCTTCAAAAAGTTCATGGAAAAAGGCATAGTAGGAAAAAAAATTGTGCCTGGATTTCAATTTATTTTTTGCACCAAGATAAATTTAGCTCTTGAATTTTGCTTTTCTGCAAACTTTTAGAAGTACCTTTATTATCAGTTTGCCGGGGTTGCACTTGCCAAGTCCCACCGAACGTATGGCCTGGCAGTTCTGGAAGCTGGGCGGGCTGAAATGGAGGCGTGTGCAGAATTGAATCTTCTGAGGGCTGCGGGCAGCATCTCTCCTTGGCTTGCAGATGGCTCCCACCTCTGTGTGTTCACATCCTCTTCCCTTGTCAGGACAAGGCCAGTCGACCTGGGCCACCCGCACGACTTCATCTTAACCCATCCCGTCTGCAATGAGCCCATTTCCATAGACACTTTCAAAGTATTTGGAGTTAGGGCTTCAACATGAGTGTTTATGGAAGGTGTGGGGGTGGGGGTGGGGGTGGGGGAGGGAGCACACAGTTCAGCCCATAATGGTTACCTAAACCCACCCCATTCAGATGCCAGAACTTGGGAGATGTGGCCTTGGAAGGCATTCATTAGCCCACGTGCTGCCTAATGCATGTTTGTTTCTTCATGTGCATTTCCAGAATGGTTCCACCTGCCGAAGCCTCAGAGCCTTCAGAACGTCTGTGACAGGTGGGCATCGCTTTGGAAAGTCACCCTTAAGCAGGCTGGAGGGTCATCTCCCTGCACAGCAGCCCCTGAGCCCCTCGAAGTGGGAAGACGCCCCCGCCAGAGCCAGCACCCCTGGGAGTGAGTCTGTTCCGTCTTTCCCTAGGAACCATTTCACTTGCAGTGAGTTTGGTCATTAAAATTGCTGTGTGCCCCTCCGCCACGGCCCAGGCCCTGAGAACCAGGGTGCACTGGCCTGCGAGCAAACCTAGTGGGTTTATTCTTCTCTGACACAGAGAAACCAAATAACCTCATTGAGTGGCCCTTGGAGGGGGACTTGATTCATGGAGGTCATGCTTTCCCAGGCCCTCTCTACCCAGTCTCGGCTCAGACCAGGGCAGACTTTTATTACCAGCTTTCAACAAATCCCTAGTTTTCTTTTGCAGAGTAAAACAGATAATAGAGACATTCCGGGAATAGCTAGCTAACTAAGCTGTGCCAGGCAACGTCGGGGCCCAGAAGAGCGGCACTGTTTTCGGACAGTGACCAATTACAATAACCAGTATTATTTGATCTGAGAGTAATTAGCCGAGGCTCTGTTCTTTTTGCTTCAGTGAGGAGGCAAAAAGGGCAGTGGGGAAAACATCAGAGACAGGAGAAACGAGCTCAAATGTCAAAGCAAAACACACTCTCGCAGGTGGGGAGGGGACGGCGAGGGGGGAGGGGCTGCCCCCGCCCGGATCCCGGCTGAGCACGTGACCGCCATCCTCGCCTGGAAGTGTGGTGGCGGTGGCCTCCCCTGTCCCCCTGCTCACGCGCTCTAAAAGGCTTCCACGTCGTGCAGTGAGCACCAGGGCGCACACAGTGAAGCACGTGGGGGCTCGTGGAACTCTGGACAACCAAAGGCCTTTTGACCCAGAGGGACCTGCGGTAACCGGTAACCGGAATTCGCCATTATTTGGAGTCAGGTGCCCGGGAACAGCTCTTTACCATTTCAGCCACAATGGGCAAACTGCTTGCCAGCCGTGGCTCACTGATGCTGAGCTGGAGAGATCTGGACTTCAGCACGTCTCTGGCTTTCTTTCCTTTTGCTCTTGGCTTCCAAAATCAATGGTAACTCCAAACCTGCAAACCACAGTTACACCTGCTGCTGCTGCTGTTGCTGCTGTCCCGTGGCTCTGCCCCCAGCCCTTCCTTCCAGAGCTGAGCGGGACTTGAACTCTCTGAATATCCCCATGACACTCATCACCTCGACCCATTCCCTTGCTCCTGGCAATTTCTGCTTGCCTTTGTTCACACTTTTGGCTTCTCTCAGTTCAAGTCTTCAAAGCAAAGAGTCACGTCTAGAGCGAGCCACAGGTGGCTACTTAAATTATTTTAAGTTCAATTTAAAATGCGGTTGGTCAGTTGCACTAGCCGCATTCTGAGGGCTCCTTAGCCATGTGTGAGCGTGGCTACCATATTGGATGGAGCAGACATCGGAATAACTCTATCACAGGAAGTGATGTTAGATGGTGCTAGCCTAGGTTAAAAATGCTAAGCCCTGTGGAAAGGACTAGCGTTAGGTGGGAGGTGTACTGTGTGCCCAGCAGATGGCTGCATATAAGAGAATGATTACCTTTAAAAAAAATAAAACAGACTTGCGCATCTTCCACTGCTTTCCCAGGTCACGGCAGAGAGCTGGATTGGAAGTGGAGGGGCTGGGTCTTGAACCAGCACCCATGTGGGATGCTAGCACTGCAGGTGGCGGCTTTACCCACCACGCCACAGCACCAGCCCCACATGTTTACCTTTAATCCTTCCAAATGACGTGCCTGTGCCAAAGAGAACTAAGGCTCAGAGTCGTTCACCAGCATCCTCAGGGTTGTCCAGCTAAGCTAGCGGCGGAGACAGGCCTCGCCTGATCCTCGGGTCTCTGAGTGAATGAGCCGCAAGTGTGGGGGACCGAGAGCAGCCGGGGCGTCCCTGGCTTTCCTCCCCGATTCCTACAGAGCAGCAGTGGAACCGTGCACAGGCCCGGGAGCAGTTCTCAGGGCCTTGCGACAGCTGTGACGGTGACCTCTTCACCGTGGACCTAATAAGTACACACTCAGGGTTTAGACGGACGAACTGTAGGACAGCTTATCCAGGGCGTTTCTTCCTGGGGCCGGATGTGCAGCCGCCTCTGGGTATCTAACTACACAGATGCGAAGCTCCTTGTAGAAAAAAAGTCTGTACATTTCAGTGTAGATGCAATTTTTTTGTTGTTCAAGATTGATTTCCTATCCACAGTGGGTTGAGTCCCGGCTGCAGAACGGGCAGATACAGAGGGCTGCCTTCTCGTGGGCGTCTACTTTACGGCCACATCCTAAACTGAGAGCATTGAAAAGTATGCATTCTATCCCTGCCCTTTTCTTCTTTCTAGGGGAAAAAAAATCAGAACTCTGTCTCGCTCACGGTGGCAGCCTCATTCTGCACCACAAAGACCAGTGGCAGCACGGGGAGTGGGAGAGCTGGCTTGTGTTAAGAAATTCAAACGGTTGTCTCAGACCCCTGAGCGCCTGAGATCTGAGATGTGTTGGGAGTTGGGTTGGTAGACTGTGTTTCGTGCAGTCACAGAGCCTGATTTTCCTTTTAGCCTTACTGTTTGTATTTTCATCCTGAATTTTTAAAAATTACATAGAGAGGTCCCAGCACCCATCACACCTTTTAGACTCACTGCCCAATTTTAAGCCTTCTAGTGACTTTTATAAGCCATGTGGCCTGTGGCAGGTCAGGCCGGCTGCAGTGGAGTGGACACGGGCTGGGCCACTCGCAGAAATGGAGATGGCTATGACTCTCTAGAGAAGAGTGTCAATCAAATTCTTGAACCACGCTGTTAACCCTGAGGGGTTTTCGATTCTAAGAATCTATCCTGAAGAAATCGCGGCACGTGTACACCAAGAGTTCTCTTTGAGGGCATTTGGCACCATGTGATTCAAGTAGTACTCCTCTCCCCGCAACAAGGAGACAGCTCAGAAAAGGCCCAAGTATCCCAGTGTGATACAGTCATGAAGACAGCACCCTAGGAGTTACCGAGTCGCAGGAAGATGATCCAGTCGAGTGGAAAATGTAAGCTATAAAAGCATACAGCTTGATCCCTTTTTCCTAAGAAACAACAAAAAAAGTAATCTGCATCAAAGTAATGGACTAAAGAGAAAAGTGAACCCCAAAATGATAGTGATTGTCTTGGAGCAAAGGGGGGCCTCCCCGCGTGTGGGATACAATTTTCCGAGTGTTCTGCAAGGCATACGTATTATGTTGGCGATGGAACTCGTATCTCTCCTTGAAATGCAGCTAGAAAGAAAGGTTCGTCCCAGGAGTCTCTGCCTTTCCCACCCTCTCGCTGCTTGGGTGGGAGGGCTCTCCTCACCGCCAGACACTGCTGGCGAGCTCAGGAGTGAACCTCGCGAGGCTTGCGGTGTTAACGCGTGGCCTCTGTGGACAGGTGCTGGGAGGCAAATTCACTTGCACGGCTTACAAGGAAGGGGGTGCCCCTAGTACCTCCATCAGCTTCCCCAGACCCCTGCTTAAGCACGGACTAAGGGAAAACAAGGTCACGTTGCGGCTCCAGATCCTCATCAGCGAGTGGTTCTAAGCCACAGTTACAGCGGCCAAGTGGCCTGAGAGAAGACGTAGATGATTGGGGTGGCGATGGCCGACAGCCACGCTGCCCCCCCCACCTCCCCACTCCCCGCAAAGCCCAGAAATTCCTAGTTAACCAGAAAGTCTGTGAGGCTGCACAAAGTGGATTTGAGCTCCAGTTTGGGCACACGTCCCCTCCCCCACCCTCCTGCCCAATAGTGTGGACGGAGCAGCTATGGTTTTTTTCCCATGAGATTTTCCCAGCCTTCTCCCTCCAACCACTCCCCACCCCCCCACACACACCCTGCTTCCTGGGCCTGCAAATACCTGGACCGGGAGCCCTGGCTGCAAGATACACCTGCCAGCCCTTCATCAGCTCATAAGCAGCCCTATACCCAGCTCCCTCGCTCCCCTAACTGACCTGGCAATGTATGAGGGCTGGGGATTTACACATTTCTTCTCCGACCTGGCTAGGAAGCCAAGGTAGCTTCCTACCTTGGACAAGCAGTTTTATGTCATGGGAAATAGGCACCAGAAAGTTTCTTATGCAAATCACATGCAAATCTTAAGCAAATCGCAACTCTCCCAGCATCCCTGCACCCTGGCACCTGGAAGGCAAAGCGTACCTGCTCTTCCCTGCTCTGTGTTGGGGTATTTGACGCTAAGTCAGCCCATCTATTTGCACTTGACTGGGGATCTGCTGAGGTGTTTCCTGGCCGGGCAACCTAATTCTGAATGGCAGACATGAGGCCTGTGGTTGCTTTCCAGGATCCACATCATCCTGTCTCTTGCGGCTTGCACTTGTAACCCTCTCTGCGGGCTGTGCACATGGGGTGGCCTGAAATGATTGGCAAGACTTTCAAACACTTGCTGAGTAAATAGGGAACAGGAAGACCCGCGGGCCTGCAGGCTACCCCACCCCCTCACCCTCCCCAGTGTCACCCACACCTGCCCCTCCCTGCCTCTTAGTCCCAGACCAGCTGAGGAGCCTTCATTCTCTCTGCTGAGCATTCTCTTCCCCGCCACCACCCCTCTTCCTGCCGAGCACCTCAGATTTCTGCAGGCAACGCCTGTCCCCAAAGCTTCAGCTTTCAGTTCAAATGCCACTTCCTCAAGGAAGCCTTCCCTGACTGCTTCCTTCCATCCCAGAGCTGTGTGGGTTCTGACTGCTGTAACACAGTACCTTAGCCTGGGCCAGGCCATGTAACAGCAAGCCTGGAGGCCTGGAGGCTGAGAAGTCTTGGGTGACGGAGCGATCCGTGAGTGTAGCAGCAGACTCCGGCTCTGGGCTGGCTGTGTCTGCCGCACAGATGGCCCCCATCTTGGGCTGTCCTCACATGGCGGGAGGGGCCAGAGGGCACCCTCCAGCGTCTTTCAGAAAAGGCGCTCATGCCATTCACGAGGGCCCCACCGTCCGGCCCTCTGAGAGGCTCACCCTGTTCCTAGCGCGGGCCTGATTGTGTCCACCACCCTCCCCACCTTTGGAGGGCCTGGCTTTGCGGCTGGATCGTGTAGTGAGGGTTGCCGGGATACAGCCTTGCTGGGCGTCTCCCAGAGCCAGCGTCAGTCACCGAGTCGTGCATTCAACATCAGATCACCCTGAGGACTTGTCCCCCCGGGACTTGGGTACTTCATTCTCTCTCTCTCTCTCTCTCTCTCTCTCTCTCTCTCCCCTCTGCACTGAGGAAGCCAGTTGGCTAACAATTGTCGGGAACTGAGCTTCAGCATCCCTCCCCCCCCCCCCAGGCGTCATCCCCTAGAACCGCCTCTCTTCGCCTCCCCCCTCCAGGATCCTCCACGTGCTGTCCCCAGCCTGGGACAAGCTGTCCACCTGGCTTTTCCCTGGTCAGAGCTGCTGCGAGTATAGATTGCTGTGTCTGTACTGATCGTTCTGCGCCCTTGATGTGTGCAGGGTGCCCAGAGACAGGGTGGAGGGCGGGGATGCTGAGATTTTGCCCACCTCCTTTTAGTCCCAGGGTGGGGGACAGGGAAGACGTTCAGTATGGGGCTCCTTTTCCCGCCGCTGTCCACTTGCGCCATCCCAAGAAAATGCGCCTTGAAACATCCTTCTAAGCTGCCATAGCCTCTGCTTTCTGGGTTTGCCCCTTGATTTCTGAGAGGAAGGGCGGCTGCTGGAGAAACCCTCTTTTGCTTTGCCACTTTTGCAGGCTGGGCGGGGCTCCGGAAGCGGAAGACCTGGCCTCCCAGATGCTGAAGGGTTTTCCGAGAGCCCGCGTCTCTGCCCAGGAAGCACTTGGGCACGATTACTTCAGTGCGCTGCCATCCCAGCTGTACCAGCTTCCTGATGGTGAGTGGTGCGGGGTGTGTGTGTGTGTGTGTGTGTGTGTACATCTGGGCGTGCACCTGTCTACCTGTACCTATGTGTAACGTCTTGGCATCCTAAGTGATTTCTCTTTCTCAACACCAGAACATCCATAGAATCTGCCCCCAGAAATGAAGTTGAAGATGATTTCCGCTCCTCTCCCCGCCCGGAGGGGGACAACAACCTCTTGCCTGAGGTTCAGATGAGAACTAGAACTCCAGAGCACTGGTAGGGAGGGGGTCAGGACCCTCTTGCAAGGCAGCAAACTTTGCCCGTAGCCCCACTTCCATGGAGAGCCTGGAGCAGATCAAAGTCGCCTCCTCCAAGCTGTTTACTTTAGCCAGCGTCTGCCAGGGCAAGCCAAACCAAAGCTTTTCACAAGCCCCTTCTCTCTTTCCATCCAGAGTAAGCTGATAGGCGACATGGATATGTCACGAGAGGAGAGCTGGGCCTTCCTGCTGGGTAACACGATGCTGCAGAAGGAAGTGCCGGCGTGGGGCGCTGGGGGCAGGGCAGCGTCCTCCCAGGCTGGCCGTCCACGGGGAAACCCAAGTTACCCTGCCCCTGCCCGGGGATGCGCCACCGCCTGGGCTGGAGGTCGCCCTCCGGATCTGCCGTCTGCCGAGCGGCCACCACGTGGTGGGCGCTCTCCTCGCGTTTCTGAGATCACGGCCAGGAAGGATTCTGCGGAGGATGTGGGCAGTGGCTGACCCGGAGCGGGCGTGGGAGCCGTGGGCCACCGTAGCTGGGGTTTCTTTGAAAACATCCAGCGGTCCATTGAGAACAGTCTGAGGGAGTCCTAAAGCCGGAGCAGAGGAAGGCGAGAAGGAGGGAGAGGGCGCTGAGATGGGAGGCGGCCAGGCAGCGGGGAGGGAGCGCCCGGGGGCCAGCTGGGTGAAGAGGGAGGCAGACTGAGGGCTCCTGCAGCGCAGCTGGGCTCTGTCCACATCGCTGTCCTGTCTGCGTTCGAAGCTCCAAGTCTGGGACTCGTGGAGGTATTTTATTATTATTTGAGTGAGTCATTTAAGATCTCCAAAAATAACCATAATCATACAACTGAGGTTAATGTCTTACTTAACCCGCTATGAAGAGCCAGTCATTAGAATTTATTAAGTTGCCATTAAGTGTCAAGAACACATGAAGTGCTATAAAAAGTTGAGGAAAACAAGAGCCTTGGCCTTGGCCTCAAGGATCTCATGAAGTGGGCGGGGAAGAGGCCGAGGGAGAGGCGACAGGGCACCCGTGTGCACACATTCGCACAAATCATATCTAAGCAGCCCGCATCCGAGTGGGGTGGGCGGCACGTGTCCAGCGCGCCCGTGTGCAGGGGCTAGAGTCGTGCCAGCGAGATGGATTAGGCTGCAGGTGACTCTGAAACGCGCTCTGCAAGGAGAGAGGGGCAGAGCGTGGCGTGGGGCTGGAACACACGGCTCAGCAGGCCGCGTGGTGAGCCTCTGCCCGCACGGCAGCCCCAGCGCCCCCTCCCCTCCCCTCCAGTCCCACTGCCCTCTCTCTGAGTTGCTGAGGCTGTCCGCTTTCTTCTCTCTGGCTCGGGACTTCTTTTACCACTTCATACAAGTGTCCACGCTTGGGTATCCACGTGCGCGCGTGCGCACGCACACACACACACACACACATCCTTCTTTCCACTTAAAGAAACTTCTCCCATCAGCCCTCCTCCAGGCTCTATTATTCCGCAACCTGAGAGCTGCTACAGAGCCTCCAACTTTCCCCGGGGCCCCAGCTTTGCCTGACAAAGGGTAATTAGGAAGAAAATCACTGTCCAAACTGATGTGTGCTGAGAAACGGGTGGGAAGCAAAGCCACCAACAGAGGGGGCCTGGTTGGGTGTGTGCGTGTATGTGTGTGGATGGGCTTGTGTGTGTGTGTACCTGTGTGTGTGTGTCTCTGTGTATGCACGCGCGCGTGAGAGCGAGAACCATCTGTATTCCTTCTCTGTTCACGCAGCCACAGAGCCCAAATCTACTTTGACACTTTTAGAAAAATGAAAAGATGGAATCTTACAGGAGCCTGCCTGCGCTGGGGGGGAGCTGAGGAGTGCTCACAGCAGGGGGGGAGTTGACTTTTCTTTATACATATAGGGGTTTTTCCATGCAGAGTTTAAATTATGCCTGATAAAAGGAGTTTCGTGGATGTTTCAGTTCTTTCAAATTCTCCTGGCTTCCTCCCAATTAAATGAGGTTTGTCAAAGCCACAGGGCTCTGCTGCTGCTGCCTCGGCGGACAAGCACTTCCTGCAGCGACATCTCGAATCCCTGAGGGAGAAGATGAAAGGGCCGGTGCCAAGAGACAGGGGCGGGCGGGCGGCGGATGAGATGTTTGTGTGCGTGTGTGTATGTGTGTGTGTGTGTGTGGCTGCGTGTTAGCGTGTGTACACACACACACGTGTGTGCATGTGTGTGGTGGTGGGGTGTAGAAATGCAGATAGGGACAGGTTCATAGGACATGGATGAGCAGATAGGAAAAGCAAAGCTACCAGCAAAATTGGAAAGAAAATTAGGGGAAGAGAGAGAGAAGCTGCTAGGGCCAGTTTGTACACCTTCATGACAGCGGTCCTCACCAAGGGCCCATGCTGTACTCAGGGAGGCATTATTTGAATGGCAGAATTAGAGAGAGAAAGATATTCCCATCTGCTGGGGCTGGACGAAGTCAAAGCCAGGAGCCAGGAGCCTCCTCCTGGTCTCCCACGTGTGCAGGGGCCCAAGCACTTGGACCATCCTTTCTTAGACACATGGGCAGGGAAGCAGAGCAACCAGGACTCAAACTGGTGCCTACCTGGGATGCCAGCATCATGGCAGCAGCTTTATCAACAATGCTAGCTGCAGTGAGCATTTTTCTTTTTTTTTTTTTTATTTTAGATTTGTTTTATTTATTTGAAAGAGTTTCAGAAAGAGGGACACACACACACACACACACACACATACATCTTCCATCCACTGGTTCACTCCCCAGATGACTGCAACAGCCAGGACCAGGCCAAGCCAAAGCCAGGTCTCCTGTGAGAGTGGCAGGGCCCAAGCACTTAGGTCATCTGTTGCTGCTGCTGCTGCTGCTTTCCCAGGCACATTAGCAGGGAGCTGGATCGGAAGTGGAGCCGCCAGGACTGGAATGGGATGGGTGTGTTGCAGGTGGTGGCTTAACCCGCTGTGCCACCATCCTGGCCCCTACTCAATGAGCAACATCTTGGGAGTCTCCTGTGCATACAGAGAGCACGTGCCAGGATCCCAGTTCCCGGCTGCAGAGACACAGATCCCCATCCCTGCGGTGGGCTGCCCTGGGGGTGAGAATTGTACAAAAAAATAAGACACGTTCTTGCGGGTGATTCGTAAGGAGAGTTTCCCCGTTTCCCCCATCATAGCCATGGGGGAGATTTTTGCACCCTGGTCGCATTTCAGTACGAAATCATTTAGGGGCTTATATTTACATCATTTTATTATTCTGGCTGCAGGATAACAGAGTTGTCACTTTAAAATATATTCCATTTCCCCTTTGATCTGGAAGATGCCAGCTCTTATTGTCTGCCCTCTGAAGAAGACAATTAGAGCATGAAACCTGTGACTGGGAAATCTGTGGAGAGAGGAAGGGCAGCCTAAAATCCCGCTGAAAGCGTGGTTTAGAAATGCCCCCCAAATGAAGCCGTTGCCCGCATCCACGCACATCCATTTTCATCAAGCTGTGAAATCCACAACCATGCTTCCCCTAGGTGGTGGCAGTCAGTCTAGAGCCAGGGCAAATTCCCCGGAGGGTTATCAGCCATGAAAAAAACACACACACACACACACACACACACATAGGAATTCCAGGCTCCGAGGAAAAGCCTGAATATGAGCATGGCCAGCACATGGGAACTTCCGCCAAGTCCTGACATTCTCCCTTATTGACTCTTGCACACCTGAAGAAACATTGGTTGGAGGAGAAATTATTGGGAGTCCCTCTCAAAACACTCCCGCCAGCCAGCTAATTGCTTTCGCAGATGGCCAGGGAGGCGCGCTTCTCACCCAGGCACCAGGTTTCAGGCACACTCGCGGTCCTCGTGGCTGAGCCAGCGGGGCCGGACGGCAGCTGGGGCAGCCACGACCTAAAATTAGGCCCTTGGCAACTCTGTAATCTTAGCTGCAGGTCCAGCCTCTTCATTTAGTTCCCTTTGCCCTCAGCATGAACTTGGGCTCTGGGAAAGGAACACTGTTTAATGATGGGGGTGGGGGCGGTGGCCAGGGAGAGTAGAAAATCATTAAGCTGCCCCTTCTGGAAACTGGCTCCGCTCTGTGCTCACCGGAAGCCTTCCAAATGTTACCCTTGGAAAGTTAAGACAGATTTTGGAACGCAGCCATTTTGAGCTTCAGACACTGATCCAGAAAAGTATTTTTTTATCTGGGGCAGTAAATGCCACGTGATTTAAGAGTCTGGTCCTTAAGCCATGGTACTTGATCGTCAAGACATCAAAGGCTGTCTCTCTCTCCCTGGGTTGGTCCCATTTTGCTATCCAAATCCCAGGCTTGAGTCTCTACCCTTGCTTCCTGGACTAAATCCCCCTTCTCCTTTCAAACAGGTTTCGGCATCTTAGGAGCAGGGGGGAAGAAAAACCTTAAAACTTAAAAGCTTGCAATTGTTTCACGAGTAATTTTGCAAAAATCATGTGCCACAGGTCGTATCGCCACCGTGCACTTCTATACCCATAGGGACAAAAGGCAAGGGGCTCATTGCAATGCCCTCGATCCTATCCCAAGTTCTCCACAGGCCTCCCTCCTATCACCCCATTCTGATCTGAGTGAAACTTAGTTTCAGCCTGATAAAATATCTTCAGGCCTTGTTTTAGTATTCCCCCTCTAAGGTATCTGAAGATGCCAGCAATCTCTCTTCCCACCAGTCACTTCCATCCCAATGCCTTTAAATTCTTTGTTTCCAAATAACAGATTCTGTATCTCCCACTTTTAGTCATTTTGCTGCCCTGTTCTGTTCGGGATCC